GAAAGAAGCTAAAAATATTTTTTTTCATTTTTTACTTTTTCATTTTCTTGTGATCTGCTTAGACATTTTTAGATATTCCCCTTCCTTTTTTTTAATCCATTTTTTTGTAATTTTCTGTAATCCAGTGGCTTGATCAGATATATAGCAGTGACAATCTGCTGACAATGATGCAGTGAACTAGAAAGGTCTTTATCCAAAGACACTGCAAAGTGAAATATTGTCCTCAAGGCTGAACTTAGAGACTTTTATACTTACGACGAGTTTATTAGATTAGAAGAATAGTTTAACTATAGTATGTATCATGCTGCTCGAATGAAAATGTACTTATGTTTTCAATTGATTAATAAACTCACAATCTAACCTGGCTATGAGTATACAAAAAAAAAAAAATCATATACAGTATATTAATTCTCTTAAACTATTTTAAAAGCTTAAACAAGTTAAATTATTTTTAATAGATAAATTGGTTTTTTTCTGTAACTTATAAAATAAAAAAACTTGTCACAAATTGTTTGAAATATTAAATATACTATTCTCAATAAAATCGATAAACAGGTTTAGATGACCATTAATAGATAAACAAAAATAGAGGTTTTTTTCTATTATAATATATTTTAAATCAATATTTATAAATTAATATACTTGAGATTTTTTGATACTATTTTTAATATTAACACATGGAACTTGAACTTGAGATGCAAATCAAAATCTTGTCAATGCAGTAAATTATTGCAATTAGCAATACATGCCATATTTAAAGTTATAAGCCTATACTGTAAATTTATACACACATTGTGGAAACTTATATTCGGTTCAAATTATAATGTTAATACAAAACAACTTATGAATTATACTTGTAATGAAATCGATAACTATTCGAAAGTATACTGTACTTGAAGTTGACAAAAGAATCTATGATAATATCGTGTTTAATGTTGTACAACTTTTTTTTTCGAAAAGCATCATATCTTGTATTAACAAGTAATCTCTATGCTCAAATACACCATCAGCCCCCGCTAATCGAACCTCGATATGCTTAACAGGAATCAATATCGTAACAAAACCTTCAGTCATTAATGCATCAACAAAACCTTCGTTTTCGAAAAATCCTTCTGTAACCATCAATAAAAACCCTTAATTTTGAAATATATAATATTAACAAGCAAAACGGCTATAATAAATAGTAGTAAAGGTCGTATTAATATTAAAGATCGGAGTTGTTAATTTTATCTTAATATTACTAGATATTTTTAAAATTTCTATATCAAAACACCGAACGGATCTGTCTGAGTGTAATATGAAATGCCTGGAAGTAATATGCGATGAGGTTGAAGTTTGATTCAAAACATACATCCTCGTAAAATATAAAATTACAAATCCCTTAAAATACGAGACAATCGGTGATTATCATTGTTGTGGTTCGTTGTTGTAACCAAAAACGTGCTGTAGTCTTAATAGTTTCTGTTTATATGGATCGTCTGGAACATGTACAGTAAAAAAAAAGAAAAAAATTTAAAAAAAAAAAAAATTTTTTTAATTAGTAACAGGAATTTTCCAATTTACCATCGTTTTGTTCATTTTCAGAAGGAACTGAAAAAAAAAAAAAAAGAATTGATATGTATGAATACAAAGTGGTTACTCATATTTGAAAATCACCCAAGACAAATATCAAAGTTCAAGTTACTTAGTGATTTGATTCCCGCAATAGCATTGGCTCTCTCTTTTTCCTCTTCTTCCGAAGCAATGTTTGCCAGTCCACGGCGAATATAACTTTGGAAGTAAGGACCTGTCTTTGATAATTGTGTTGTCACTTTGCCTTCCATTTCAGGATGTTGCTTCTGAAATTCATATAGTTCGTAAATGCCCTAGAAGGGTGTGATAAAGGTGTTAAAAAAATTTTTTTTTTTTATTTATATTGAGAGAATTATTTAACGACAATCACCTGTTTGGTCTCTTCCCGCGTTCCAATTTTAAGAAATATTTGAGTTAAACGTGCGTTCATCTCGACTTCGTGCGATCCTGATGAACGGCTGCTACCAGTCGGCGTGGGAAACCTCGGCGTCATAGGAGTGCGCGGTGAAGCAGGGCTGACCGGTTCCGAACTATTATACTGTATTTCATTGAACTGAGCCGGCGCTTCATACGTCGGAGAATTTCGAGCCGGTTGTTCATTAATTTGCGTGGGGATTGATGTGTATGATTGTCGGGGCGAAGAATTTTGTACTGGTGATGCCCGTGAAGATTCAAAGGCAGAAAAGGCAACATCCGTTCCTACTGAAGTAATTGACTTTATAGATCCGACAGACGAAGGTCGGCTTTGCAAGTTTGGAACCTAGCATAAAGAAAAAATCAGACGCTGCTTTTTTGAGTTATCTATGAAGAAGAAAAAAAAGTGGAAAGTTACATTTGATGTGTTATTCTGCTTTTCCTTCTTCCGGCATGCTTCGAGCATATGATGTAAGTAAGGGTATACAAAGCTATGTTGCGGGTCTTCAATGAGGTCCAAATGATCGTATACGCCCTCTCCAAGTCCTGTTACAAGTTCAAGCAATAGCGTCTTTACCGTGCGAAGAGGCATTTCGCCAAGTGGAACTCCTTCTGCCATACGCCTCTTCCATTCAGCGGGCGGTGTAGCAAATAAAAAGTCATTGAGATCTCTCAATAATTTATTAGGCAGAAGGATACCTGCCTTTAAATTTTCTTGAACTGTTTTCGCTAATTTCCATAAACATTTCATTATCAGTTCCGTGAACTTTGTGTGAGAGGCCGCAGCCGACGGATCTACTTCCCTCAAGTTTGCCGCTGATTTCCCAAGTATGGATATTAGGGCACTGAGCACCGAAGAATTTCGTGGTTAAGAAATGTACATCTGAAATACTAAAAGTAGGCTCGAAATGTAAATAAATAAAGATTGTCTTGCCTATACGTTGCATTGCGATTGCTGTTATCGAGAACTTTGACCATTGATACATTGAGTGCCTTAGACAATTGTTGACCGGATTCCAATGCTTGGAGATTGGGATCCAGTAGACGATGTGCCAATTCTGTTAGCAGGCTGTCGAGTGATTCTTGGGATACCGCTAGTGCTAAATCCTTGTTTGAAAATAGTAAGACCAATGCATTAACCAAATGTTTGCACAATCGAACCAGTATCTGTGATCGCGCATCAAGTTTCGTATATGAAATTCGAACTTGCACTGTCAAAGCATTAACAATGTCATTGACGGATGGTATCAGTGATTCGGGGGAATTGTTTAAATGTTTATCCAACTCCTTTAACGCCTCAATGCTTTGAGGGTGATCAGAACTCTGAATTTTAGATATGACTACTTCCACCAAGAATACCGAACCGCGTTCAGAGGTACGTTGCTTTGATGATGGCAACCCAGGTGAATTCGACATCGTAGAATTATCATTTATAGGATTGATGTCAATTTCCATGCTCATAGGGTCCTTCTGAACATGATCATTAACCGCCTCAGATGAAGACAGACCATTAGTTCCATTTTCTCCCTGACGGAATTTTGAAAAATGAAGACGGGAAGGAGGCGGAAGGCCCCTACCGATTCCACTTGGTGGTGCTCCACCCCTTTGAGCAGGTGACGGAAATCTGTTGGGAATCATAGATGATTGCGGTCCATTGATCGCAGCCGGGAAGTGCATACCATTTGGAGGAATCAAACCGGATGCGTTATTGATGGCCGTTGGAGGTGGGTTCGCAAGGGTACGTTGGGGGATACCTTGCGCAATTCCTGTTGACGGCTTGAGTATCAATCCCGGGGGTAATTTCGGTGTTGGCTCCTCATCTTCTATATCGTCGGAAATATCGTCATTTTTGCTGGAGGATGGTGCAGCAATACGCGATTTTGGACCAAGTTTTTTAGCATCCTTTCCTCTAGGAAGAGGACCATTTCCGTGAGCCGGGCGAACAGCTTCAATCATCGGCATAATCGTTTGTTTCACCGCATCTTTAAGGTCACCACATCGCGTCACCACATAGTCGTACCCAGCACTTTTCACTATAGGCCCTAAACAACTCTGTGCTGCTTTCCTCACTTCTCCATTGCGGTCCTGCAAACACGATAATATAACTACTACAAGTGGTTGCAAATCGGGCAAATTATTTTTTTCATCAACTTCTTTAAGGCGTTCGGATAGCCAATTTAATAGGTCTTTGCGTAATAATGGATTTTCGGTGGCAAGACCGGTTGCCAATGGTTGAACCAAAGGATCTAGACCAGTAGAATTCGTCAGACAATCCAGGGCGCTAATAGCGCTTCCACGAACCGTAGCTTTTTGGTCGGTCAACACTGATATCACAGGTGGAACTAATAATTTTATGTGTTTCTCAAACGGTTTTCCCATCGCGGTCGCAAGTTTTCCGCAAATATCCAAGGCCATCATCTGAAGATTTTTATTGCTATCCGCCAGGCGCGCCTTCAGAATCGGAACAAACTCACCTGATTTCGAAGATCTGGTTAAAACGTATTATATTCACACAGAGTATCCGTCAGAAAAATCTCATACCTAAATTCGGTTTAATCTTTTTGTTGGAATCGACAATCGCGAGAATTTGATCAAGGGCTTCTTTTCGAGTTTTCCATTTTTCATCGTTCGCATCCTGTAAAAATATATCATTATCACAAGTGGTTTTTAGTATTAAATGATGCATTGGAGAAGTGATTGAATTCAAAAACGTTAACAACTTACAGCCATCATCTTACTCGTAAATAAGGCACCAATATCAACTCTAGGGAAAAGTTCTTCCAAGGTATCATTCCCTCCGCGTCCCGAACTAGCCACCTCGGCCTATCGTTATTCAATTGCAAAATGATGAGCAAAAAATTTCCAACAGGTAATTTCCTTCAAGTTGAATGACAATTGTACATACGCTAACTTTCACTGGCCTCGGTGGTGCTTGATCGGCAACCTTATCGAATTCGTTGTCAATCGTGGCAAGTTGGGTGGGATTCAAGTCCTGAACGAACGTTCTGATGTCTATTTAAAAGACAACCCGATAGTGAGAAAAGATCACGCCGATACTAAAGGTCGTTGACCGCACAATATTACCTGGACCAACATAGATCCTTAGTGCACCCAAGACCGTAACTGAATTTGTTCGGACTGATGCATTCGAGCTCGAAAGACAAAACTTGAGAAAATCAATCAATTCTCTTATTTGCAAGCCAGCTATCCCAAATTCCATTATAGCACCGTGCATCCACGTTAAATTATCTGCCAATATTTTTGGTGACTTTGCTTTTCGCAGTGGCTCGTATGCTATTATGAAATTCAGGTATGTTTAATTAAAATTCTCACGATTTATCGAATTTGAAACACATGTCAAATTATCCGCGAACCTTGTCCGATAATAAATTGAAGGGATATTTTCTCGGAAAATGCTGTTAAAGTGTCAGTGGCACTTTTTTTAAGCTTGATGTCTCCTAACTTATCCACCAAAACTGAAGAAATTTATAATATAAGTGTTAGATGGTCATGATATTCACCCATATTATCGTTATGATAGATGTCATTCACCTGGTATACAAAGGGCCGCCGTAGGTTTATCGAAAGAAGGGACCTTGTTGCAAAGAAATTCCATTATATTAAACGCTTTCGATAACACCTGGAAATTGCTCTCCTTCCATCCAGGTTTCTTGGCGAGGAATCTTGCAACTAATTCTGCTTCAATTTCCGAGGGATCCTTCTCATCCAAGGCATTATACAGATTTTCAATAGCTAATAATGACAATACGGGTCATCGTCTCCATGGCAAGCGGATATAAGAATTTTTTATTTTGAAGATCCGATTATCATGAATAGGTACCTGCCAATCTCAATTTCCAGTTCTTTTCATCTATTTCCTTTATCAGATCTTCGGGAACGATTTCGGCAAATCTAGCCTCCACACCCTCATCGCTAAATCTGTATTTTAAGACTTCCTCTTCTTTTACTTTACCACCTTTTTTTGACGACGTCGGAGCTGCTGCGGTGGCAGGTGCCTTCGCTGCAGCTTTCTTGGCAGCGGGCGGCTTAGAAGTTTTTGGAGGCGCTGCCTTCTTAGGTTCATTATCCTGTGGAAGAAATCACTAAGCAAACTGGAAAAGGCGAGTACAAAAAGATTAATACGATGCTCGCTTACGCTATCCTTTTTAACTGCTGCCTTAGGAGCTTTAGGGGGTGCTGCGGCAGATGCCGGTGGTGGTTTTTTTGCGGCGGTAACCTTAACCTTTACTTCCGCTTTGTCAAAGAATTCTTTGATTTTGCCTTTTCGGATATCATCAAGATTCTCTATATAGGGGTTCATGGCTTTCTCTCCGATTACTTTCATCATGGTACCAAGTCCCTCGAATGCCGCAACACGCACCGGCTCGAAGCTATTTTCGGATTCTTTCACCATCATTTCAATTAGAGATTTAATTTCCGCTTTGTTAGGGGCGACTTTTGTATTCTTTAAGCACCTGACCAACCATTTCATGGATTCCGATTTCACTTGCGGATTTTTATGTTTCCCCGCGGCCAAAATGTCCTCCGAGACGTCAGATATGCTCACCTGGCATCAAATAAGGAAACATGGATGTAAATATTTAAGACGGGCGATCAGGTCAATTGTGAAGTGTCTTTCAAGTGTGGTCACATACAGATAGGAAGATCGCATCCAACGCTGCCGCTAGAGCCTCAACAACACTCTGTTTTCTTTCTTTAAGTTTCTCAATGATTGGAGGCACCACCTTTGAAATACAATGAACAGGGCTTAGAAGATAAAAGGTGACATTAACCGGACTTATAAAGAAAATTTTTTACCACTGATTTATATTTTGAAAACGCTTCCCTTAAGCCATTAGCAAAAGCCTCTATAATATTTGCTGCCAGCGTAACAACTATTATATTAGAGTCCGCCATTCGCTGTAAATTTTGGAGACAATGAGTATTTTAATTTACACGTTCAAATTTTCGGCGTTCGGAACAACAGATTAGCGCCAATTAAAAAAAATTCTAAGCAAACCTTGGCGAGGGCAGCAATCAACTCCCCGTAATTGCTGTCAGCAATTCTTGGCGTCTTGCACACCTCAAATAAACCGTCCAATGCTTCTTTCCTTTCTTTCCACTTTGATGACGCCTACGTAATCAATTCAATTCGCGTTATAATTCTTTGGCTAAGCAATGTCAAGATAATTTTTAAAATTTCTACCAATTGCGCATAAAAATCTTTTGATATTTTTGGCAGAATATCAAGGGGTTCCGCTAAATCGTATGCGTCTACTTCCTTTTTGTCATCGGCTTCAGAGTCAGCTCCTATAGATGTTTCATGTTTTGATTAATTCCAACTTTAAATAAATAAATAATTTAATTACTACACACTGGAGAAAGTCAATCTTGACTTATTTCACCTTCGCCAGCTTCAGCCGCGGCTTCAGCGGCGGCCTGCTGTGAGCGCAGTAATCTCTGTTGGGTAGGTTTCTCTTGAGGTAACTTCTCAAATGCTTCATTTAATTCTTTAACCTAACAACAAAGACATATCGAGCGTATCATTGGCAAAAGGAAAAATATTAGGCAAAATAGAAAACAATTTAACTTATCAAAAAAAGCAACTATTTTATTAATGAGATTTGCTTACCTGAACTGGTTTCAGATCCGAAAGATAAGAACTGATGGCTGGACCCAACCACTTATAAAGCTCTATCACAAGTTGAGTTCCCTGTTTGGTGAGAATACATGTTGTTAACTCGAGGAAATGTAGAAACGCGCGTTAAAATGGTGACTCACCTCAGCTCGAACGTTTTTATCAGTATGAGCAAATAACTTCGGTATAATTTTAAGAATCGGCTTGATATTCACCGTTTTCGCGCCATATAAACTTTTTATCGAAGGCACGTAACAAACAAAACAAATTGACAAACATTAGAAGTGGTCTGAAAGTGATGCAGGTTGTTCGATTGATGGTACCTTATGATTTCTTTCAGCGCGGAAGCTGTGGTTGCGACCAGTTTCGGTTGTTTGGCATTTAATCCCGCTAATACATCTTCCTAATAATTTCAAAGGTACATACATTAATTATCAACAAGTTGAGCAGGGTGACCAAATTAATGCGTACCACAACCGGGTCGGGTGTGTCGACCTCTATGTATAACAGAATGAGATCCACCGCCTTCCTTTTTGTCCCAGCACGAGCCGAACCGAAGCCCTTTTCGACAACCGCCGGTATTATAGACGACCTCGGCCTATATTTTTCAAATAAAAAAGTCGACATTGGATCAAAATGGGGATGCACACGTACATTACCACGGATGTCACCGTTAAATCGCATGGAAGCACTGGGATGAATCCATGAGGGACACTTGCCTTGTAGGATTAGGTGCGTTCTCTACATACGCTAAAAGTGTTGACAACCCTGTTTCTTGCGCGACGGCGTTAGCGTCCTTGGCTATGTCTTTTAGTAAACCTTCATAAGGTTTGAACTCTTGTTCGTTTGACGGATCCGCAGTTGAGAATTTTTTCGTGAGCTCCTCATATGCTGCCACTCGAACCTTCCAAATCTACGAATATGTACACGTTGTTAGAAAGGTGCAAGACGTTCCAGTGACCGGTTAACCCGTGACGACAGAAGCCAAAAGACGGTGCCCGGGAACTATGTACCTTGTGAGTAATCCTTTCGGGGAGAGGCAGTGAGGAGTAATCTTCCTCGGCTGCTGCCATTTAGGTAAGTAAACAAAAAAAAAAAAAAAAAGCCTAGCACAGGTTCTTGGTTGTGTTTAAAGGGCGCAAGGGTGCTTTGGTATTGAAGAATTATGAAAAGTGATAATAACTTTGGAAAATTTGACTTGACGACGGTAAAGGTCACGAGACAAAATCAGCAATAGAAAGAAGTAGAAGAGTTCGCAAGTACTCCTTGCCAAAAAAAAACCTCGACTTAATTTAGTTTTATGCGATAGTATGTATTCTCTTGTTTATGCCAAATAACTGGTTGATCGTTGTCCAGAATGATATCATGATGATCCAGGGGCCAATATGAATGCCTAGTCCCGGGTTTTTGGAATCTGAATCTTAAAAATAATATCATCATCAGTCTTTAAATTATCCAGAGAGACAAAACAACACTTGATTCGATTTGTGCGATTCAACATGCCGCCAATCAAAGGTGCGTCATTAACCTTTTTTTTAAAAGTCAAAAGACAAATCGCCTAAGCACCTTTTTGCTCTCGGCAAAAAAGTTAACGTAAAATGGAGTGGAAAAAAGTACGAGCTGGAAATTGACACCGACAACACTGCGGAATCTTTCAAGAGTGAACTCTATAGGATTACCGGTGTTGAACCTCAAAGACAAAAAATAATGTGCAAGGGAACGATCTTGAAGGTTTGAGAACATACACACTCTACACTTTTGATACTGGAATATCTTCCGTCATTCCGATCTGTGATAAACCATCGATTATTTTTCATCGTAGGATGATACAGATTTGAAAAGTCTAAACATTAAAGAGGTGAGTGATCGCTGTGCCCCAATAATCTGAGCTCTTTTTGCTATTCACACCAGTTGAACCGGAAACTTTTATCTCGCTAGGGGCAAAACTTAACGGTACAGGGAATTTATAAGTCGTTGGGAAGGGCACATTTTGCCTTCTGAGTGATGATTATCCAAACTTGTTTTACTAGATGATGGGAACAGCTGGGGAGTTGCCCAAAGAACCGGAAAAAAAAACCATATTTATGGAAGATATGACGGATAGGCAGTTGGCAGAAACCGTAAGATAGTTTTGTGCGTTTTGTGTAGCGATTGCGAGGAAAAAAATTTTCAACGCAGTTTGTTCGATCGTTCAGTTGAAGTTACCTTCTGGTTTGATAAATCTTGGAAACACATGCTATATGAATTCCACATTACAATGCCTTCGCTCCGTTCCGGAACTGCAAGAATCGCTTAATAGGTTTGCAGGAAAAAGAAACTTTCACGCACGTCACCCACGAATGCATAGTGGAAATTGATACTTTTTGTTTTACCGACCCTAGTTACACCAGTCGACAAAGGGGTGCGGGTGTTTCGAGTAATTTGATAGCTTCGCTGTCCGATCTCTTCCGAAGATTGAATCAGACCACCGAAGGATATCAACCTATGCATTTTGTACAGGTAAGCGAAATCTTGGTGTGAACTTCAATTTCGCGCATTTATCGAAGTACTATTCAATTATCACAATTTATCAGAATCTCAGAACTGCTTATCCACAATTCGCACAACGCAACGCCCACGGTTTCATGCAACAAGATGCCGAGGAATGCTGGACTCAGATAGTGTCAGCCATGAATAACGCCAATCTGCCAATACCGCCGCAACACGACAGTTCAACTTCTGCTGAATCTTCATCGGCGTCGAGTGATAGTTCGTTCGTCAAGCAATACATGACAGGAGAATTGACTTCAGTGTATGCTCTTTCTCAGTTACTTTTTTGAGTGATTGCATATCTAGTAAATCAAAATTCAATTCCTTTTCCAGCTTAAAGTGCCTTGAAGCACCAGAGGAAGAACCTATTATCACTCCCGATACTTTTACAAAATTGAGTTGTTTTATTTCAAAAAGTATGATCTTGCAAACGAATTTATGAGTGAATAGAACAATTGAAACTTTTTTTGAATGTTTTATTTTTTTTTCTCTCTTCTAGCCACAAGCCATATGACGAATGGAATTTTCGAGGTAAAAACAACTCCGCATTCGATACTAATTTTACCTATAACCATTCTAAATTATCTCCACTACGGGGGTAAAGGCGTTGCATGAAGACCAAATCGAAAAAAATTCGCCCACCTTGAATAGATCGGCAAGATATTCTGTGACCTCACGTATTAGCCGTCTGCCTGCATACCTTACCGTTCACTTTGTAAGATTCTACTGGAAACAACAACAGCGCATCAAGGCCAAGATTATACGTGAAATCAAATTTCCTTTTGAGTTTGATGTCTCGGAATTTTGCACAGATGAATTAAAGAAAAAGATCACACCGGTGAAAAATCGTTTGATTGAACTTGGGAAGGATCGAAGTAGCGCAAAGGTAACGATTGAGTTGTGTTTTGCGAATTTTCCTGACGGATAGACTCATTCCGCGCACGTAAATACCACAGCGCAAGGCGAAACTCGCCGGTAACTCTAAGGAAAAAGTTGAAGAAGAGGTGCCTAAAATTGACGATTCGGTCATCGAGGAAATAAAAAAGTTGGTTGACCCGGAGCTGGCTAAGGATGTTGGTGCCAACGTGACAGGACTGTATGATCTGTGCGCTGTTCTGACACACATCGGACGGTCCGCGGACTCCGGTTGGAATTTTTTTTTTTTTTTTTTTTGATTAAAAATCTTTTCATTTTCCATCTGACCAATGTTCCTGTTAATTATCTCAGGTCACTATATTGGTTGGGTTCGCAAAGAGGATTCGGGTATGTAAAACAATACCTTCCACGGTATGTTTAAGAAAGAATTGTTCTAACGCCACGTTCAATTGCATTTGATTGTTCAAGATGATTGGATTAAATATGACGACGATAAGGTTACAATCGTGTCTCAGGATGAAATTCAAAAACTCGCCGGCGGTGGAGGTATGGCCTATTTTCTTTTTTTTTTTTTTTTTTTCCTCTCCTTTTCCTCTCATAAATTCTTCGCATTCATCACAAAAAATTCATAACATAAACTCTCATTTTTTAGCCGATTGGCATGTGGCGTATATCCTGTTGTACCGTTCAAGGAAAATAGAATGATCATCTGCCACCGTTAGAAAAATAGATGCTCCAATTATCGGCATGCAATCAAGTGTCTAACAGTCTGTTATAGAATGCCATTATAGGTTTTCCCAATCAATAAATAAAATGTATTAAAGTTTTATTTCGATCAAAAAAATAGTTTGAAGTTCATTCTAAATGTCCTTTAGAAGTGAGTTGTGCAACATCATTATACAATTGATTTAAAGAGATTAGGAAACCCTATGCACATATTAACGATTTTTCCCGGCGCAATGCTCTGCAAATAAAGTTCACCATTTCACTCAATTTTTCTTTCCACAGCCTTGATCTCATCAGATAATAGTTTTGCAACCTCTAATTCTGGTGGAATCGATAGCTCCGAGTAAACATACGGCAGAGGGTTGGGTGTAGTGATGCGGATGGATTTGTGACCATTGGGTAGAATGAGTACGGTGAATTTA